CAGTTCATATACTAGTAGAGCAACCATTGGCTGCAACAGAATAATGTCCTTTGCAGGAGGTTAGACCGCTTTGCACGTAAAATACTATAATTAATAAGAAAGATCATTTGGTTGAATACATAATTTCCTGAGTACATAGTGCTAAAATATTTCAAAGCGTGTGTGTGGGATTATATATACATATACATATTGTACATAGACATGGAGCTTATATATATGTATACCTACACACGTATTTGGACACACATTAACGGAAAAAAACAAAAGACAAACACACACACACACACACACACACACACACACACACACACACACACACACACACACACACACACACACACACACACACACACACACACACACACACACACACTCACACACACACTCACACACACACATGCACACACACACACACACAGTGCTTTGGTTCAAATGTTTAAGATCTAAAATTAAATACTAAGTCATCCTTCTCCCACCTATGCTCTTGCTTCTCCATTCACAAAAGTTGTACAAAAATGCAAGCGTATATTTAAAATGTATTTTGTTGAATGACTTACTTGCAATAGCGTTATTTGGCTTGAGAAAGATGGTGAAAAAGGAGAATTCTCTCGTTTTGATTCCATTCTGAGTTAAGAAAATATACATTGAGGAAATAGACCTAAAAAAAACGATTTAATAGTATGTAAATTAGAAACTTGCCACAGTCTAGCTAGTCAAGTAAGCTGATAGTAAAACAGTAACTGCCAAACGTACCCAGTGGTTGCCATAAAAAACATTAATGATGATTAAAATGATTATGTGTTATTTCTTTCATTCTTTTGCTATTTTCAACGATGCTATATATGGCGATCATATCGTCATTAACATAACAATCTTTTATTATTATTTTTAAATACCAAAAACAAATACGGTAATTTATTTGCGTAAGTGGCTGTAATACAATAAATATGAAAATAAATTAGAATATTCATTCGTCAGAGTAATTTTCCTCTGATTTCTTCCCAGCCATTCATTTGCACATGAAAGAATGACCATTATACACATGTCTATTATACACATATGTTTATTCTCATTTCTTGACACAAAGTCGTCATTTTCACCGAGATTCTTCAACCACAGAAACGGGCCATGTAAGAGGCACCACCAAATATTAAGCCACTAACAAAACCCATCTATTTAAGGACAGTTCCATATATTTACAGATCAACTTACACCCCATAGTTATCTCTCAGGGAAATATGATATGTTATAGCAGGCCGAGTGAAGTACTCAGCCTATGTACATTTAAGTACTGTTCCACATATATACATGTTAATGATGTTTCTCGGTATATGCTGGGAAAGGTATTTCTTCAGCTTTCACAGCAGACCTTGAGGTGATAAACACTTGATCCCAGACGTAAAGAGACCCAGCAATAGGACGTGGGCGGGGGGCGTCTCCCTTCTCAGAAGAGGAGTGTCTCGATGGGCGGCATATCCCTGCAGCCAAAAGATTTGAACTGCTTTCTGAGGAGGATTGTGGCTACCGCGCCCGAAATCTGTAGACGTAAGGAAGCAGATTCAATTGAATGGGAAAAAAAGTATAATCATAAATAGATAAAATTAAGGAATGGAGACGAGACAAGGAAATATAAATCAATCCATCTATCGGTATGTATAGATGAATGAATAAATAAATGCACAAACACTCATTCACTCACTCACTCACTCACTCACCCACTCTCTCTCTCTCTCTCTCTCTCTCTCTCTCTCTCTCTATATATATATATATATATATATATATATATATATATATAAATATATAATATATATATATATATATATATATATATATATATATATATATATATATATATATATATATATACATATATATACATGGTAGAAAAACCCACAATGATTTATTGAAAATGAGACGACAGTTTCGGAATCCACCTGGATTCCATCCTCTGGTCTTATATACATGTTATACATGTATACATTTTTATATACATGTTCATGCATACATGAAAATGCACACACACACACACACACACACACACACACACACACACACACACACACACACACACACACACGCACACACACACACACACACAAACACACACACACACACACACACACACACACACACACACACACACACATATAAATGCACATTGTAGTGAAATGACAGTAGGACAAGAGACTCACCTGGAAGAGTGCAACGACCAGAAGAGCGCCTCCTGTGGCAGCGAAGTTTTGCCTTACCCAAGAAGGTAATAAATGTAAACATCCCTGAAATAACAAAAAAAAATTTAAGTCCAAGAATTGTGTTCAGTGGTCTATTCATCTGGGAGTCATCAGTCATGTAAAATATATTGGATACATGCACATGTCCGTATCCCGGACTAGTACAGTGGTAACGTGTTGGCCTCTCATCCGAGGGGTTGGCGATTCGCGATTGTTGCAATTGTCGCCTGGAGGTTACTGCTGTTACTGCACCACGGCGGATCAGGACT